GAAAGAGTGGTGGTGGAAAACCCTTTGTCCAGGGTTGGACACACACACACACACATATATATATATAAAAAACATTGTAATATAATATATATATATATAACATAATATATATAGTATACACGCGCTATATGAGGCAATGCCTAGCTCAGAACTGCTCAAGCCACCAGGGGCGCTGTCCCGCCACGCGGCGTCCCGGCCGACAGCAAAGTGGAGCAGCTCGCCTTCGGCGCTTTCCCGCTCCAAAACGAGAAGCTCGTGGCGCGCCCGTAGGGCATCGCATTTAAAAGCTGAAGGCCACCCGGCTTGGTCAAGCCTCCACATTATGCTGATGACTCAAGTGCGTAAATAAATAAATATGTATTCTTTTTAGTTTGGTGCTGTGGTTCTGCAAGAAAGTTTGCTTGCGACACTCCCTTCGTATCGTATTCATTCTTTGTTATTCGGACATGCCAATGCTGTCGGACTTCTGGCCTCAGCCGCGTTTTCAAACGCCAGCGATAGCCATGAGCCGCTTGAGCTTGGGCTTTTGGCGATGCTTTGGACTTCAAAGCATCGTCCAGCCAACACGTTGTGCTCCGGTTTCCCCTGCCGTTGGTTTCATCCTGTTGGCCTGGCCTTTTAGGCCAATTCAAGATGTTAAGATGATGCCAAGACAAGATCCGTCTTATACCTATACGTGACAATTTGCAGGAACGGAATCATGTCCCGGTGAAGCCCAATGTGATTTTTTCTGAGAAGTTGCGGGGCCTGCTCCCGCTTCAGGGTAACGACGCTGGTCACGGCGCTGGTAACTGGCCTTGGTGGCTTTGAAAAGCTCCTAGTCGGCCTCGCGGCCTCCTCCTCGATTTGTTTGCTGAACAAAGCATCTGACAGCTGAACAAAGCACAACTTCTTCGCACTTGGCGAGTGCCTTGCATTTCCCTAGGGTGAGACAGCTTGGCAGCAAAACCTTTATATACTGCAAGTATCTGCAAATTTGCAAGTCGCAACCTCTGATTGGGGAAAAACCAATCAACAAAGCAAGCACCCAACCGCACAGTCGCTGCCATCCGCACGGCTCGTGCGCTGAAACAATTAGCTTCACTTGTCAAAGCTTGCGGCGACCCTCGTGCCGCACGGCTCGTGCCGCCTGACCAGTCAACACGAGAAATGTCACACAACATATATCCCTGTCGACCTTCAACCTGCAAAGGGCCGTGGGGTGACGCTTGACATGTTGCGCTTGACGTATCGGGAGGTAAACTTTGGGATGATGATGTCTCTCACATGGTGCCAGTGGAGTTCATGAAAGGAATTGTTGACCGGGGGCCTTTACTGATTGATTTCTGCTTTGACTGGAGCCCACTGTCGTATACAGGTGTGTGCCACAGCCTTAAACCGTCCAGACCTCCTCGTCCAAACAAGTCTCGGCGTCCGAACCCCGGAAGCCACGCAATTCCGCCCCGGACGTCCGCGCGACGTGAAGCCCCGGACGGTCGTCGCCTCGCGCCTCGTCAGACGCCCGCGTTCTTCAGCTCGAAATTCCTCGGCGCCGTCCGTCGAGTCCGTTCGTCCGCCGTGGGGTTGGCGTAGCCAGCCGTTCCATGCCGGACGATCAACAAACGTGCCGGTGGGTGTTCAGATGCTTTAGGGGGACAATCTAGGTCAATACCACCGTACATGCTACCGTACATGGACTGTTGGGGATGATTCAATTTGTTTGTTGTTTTTAACTCTCTCCCTATACCTCCAAGTGCTTCCTCAAAATGTCTTTGGACCCACCAAGACCCACCTTCGAAACGAAGGTACGACTGGAGGCCTAGGGTCTATGAACCAAAACTGTTGGCCGGTCTGAAACATCTGTTATCATCTCTTCATGGTCAGATGTCTCCTCCGTAGACAAAGGTGTTCACCCATTTTTCCACCGGACGTCGGTCCCGCACGCACACGCGAAGGACCGAGGTCTTTGTGGACCTTTCCAGACCTTTCTTCTGAGCAAGGATCGAAAGCGCCTTCTCCTTGAACATCAACACTCTCTGATACTTTGCCTGCACCACAATGCGAGGGCAAAGCCGTCAAGGAGCTCACCTTTGTGTTGCAACACCTTCATGAGTTAATCAAATTAAACATGTTCCCTCAAGTAAGAGCTGCTGAACATCATGTTCCAGATTGTTCCAGTCCCTTCTGACCTTCCAAATCATGTTCCGTTTCTTGAATGCTGGGATGGGTTGTCAAATGTCAGTATACAGCGACGCTCTGTGGCCAGCCCGTCCCTTGAGAGCTATTTTTCCCAAATGCGTCTTGAATCACCGTACAATGTTCACCAAAGACTGCTCACTTCCGGACACTTCCGGTCTTTGTCAGATTAGCACTGGCACCCACAGCTCACCCCCCCCCATGGCGATCGGTCGCGCAGCGCATCCCCCCGCGCCAGATCGCTGCCCGTCATGAGGCGCTCGGGCACGGTGTCTGTGGCGTTCACCTTCACGATGCCACGCACCAGGTTCAGCCTCAATCGGTCGGGCAACAGTCGGATGGGACGGGAAGATGGTGGAACATGGAGAAGAGTCAGTGAAAAACTGGACACCACTGGATAAAGCAGCATATAGGTTCACAAACGTTGTATGCAGTGTCTAGATCTATACATATATCATGATAGATTGTAGTTATATAGTTCCTCATTCACCCCCAGCGGTTCAAGTCCCTCCTCAGAAGGTAGACTGATAGCTGGCAGCTGGAACCCTAGGGTCACATAGGGCCTCTTAGTTTCACAGTTGCAACTTGAAGCAAGACGTAGATTCTCAGATGGCATGATCGCCAAGTGGAGGGCCCCAGTGTTCGCTCCACAGGTGCTGGGGTTGATATAGCCTGCTAACCTCCAGTAACCCGGATCTATTCTTGGATGTTGGAAGGTAACCATCCAGCTGTGGGCCTTTTCAGCCCTAGAGGACACCAATCACCAAAGTGGATATTACATCCTGTAACCGTTCAACATCTGACCGGCCAGCTTCTGCCCATCAAACAACTGGCATGACAACTGGCATGATCAACGCCTTTTCCTGTGCTTGTTTTTACCACTTCACACCTTAAAATCTCTTTTCCAAACAAGATTAGACCAGTAAGCCACCCCCGCCACCAAAAAAGAAACACAAAACACGGCACCCCATGCCGTGTTCGCCGCTCCAACCACCGTGTTGCGCCGCTCCAAGCGGCACCTCCCCCTGCGCCGTGACCAGCGCCGAGCGGGCGGCGCTCACGGCGTCGCGCTCGATGCGCTGCTTGTCGGCCTGGCCTTTCTGCTGGATCACGGTCCTTGGGACGTCGGTCACGTCCCGACGCGGCGGGTGAATCGGTCCGAGGGTGCTGAACCATGCGCCGCGGCGACATGAAGAGCGATGGGAAGAAGACGAACGGCGACATGAAGCGGAGAAGTCGTCAGAAATCATTAGGGGAATTGTGAAGATGAGAATTGGAATCAGTCAGGTCTGCAGGTGGCAGGTGACCCGCCCAAACTGACAATGTAGCAAAGGAAACAGCTTCCAAATCCGCAGTGTAGAAGCTATGATTCTTGAGCTACCGTAGCAGGCTTCGTACAAAAACATGTGACAGTGCAATGTTTATAAAAATACCGAACCCAAACGTGCCATTCTGTGCTCCGAACCTGGTCCAAACCGCAGGGAAGCTGGGGTACTTCAGGGAATGCACCGTCAAGAGCACGTGAGCCAACATGAATTTGCAGCGGTCGTACGACGAGCCCAACGAAACCGCCCAACGCAACTCCGAGCTGCACATTGGCGACCTGAGAACGTGAAGCATCTCTGGAGAGTGAAGCCATGCATGAGGAAAAGTGTGCATGAGTGCTGAAATGCATGAGAATGAGACCTAAATGGGAACATGTGGAACTGTTGGTAGCAACCCAGCAACCCTTTGTTTAGCTATGGTTTGTGCGTTGACATGGGAGATGCTGTGGGATACTCCCGACTCACGAGTACCCACTACTCCTGAGTCATCTGCGCCTAGTAATAATTTTTGTATAATCGGGCTTCTATGCAGTATGCCGGTGACCGTCTGCCGGCTCACATTGGCTCAATAGAAAAGAAGACAGGAACCCCCAATTCAGCCAGCCAGCTCGCCAACTCGGTGATGCCGAGTCATCGTGTGGTTGATTCTGAAGTCTGACCCCTTGGTACGCCCAATGAATGTCACCCCTTGTGGGTGTCACCCCATATGGTGTGATACCATTGGAATCTCTTGGGGCATTGGTTCCCAAACCCTCCAACTGCAGGTTTGCGACATACTCTGCCAGGATGACTTCAGTCTTCTGGCGGTAGGTGGTCTGGGTCTGTCTTGCCAAAGCCGTCTCTTCTGCTTGCTTCCTAGCTCTCTCTTCCGCCCGGCGGCGTGTTCCAACAACCGCGCTGATAACCACGGGAAGTCTTTATTCTGCGTCGTTGTGCAAACAACTTATATACATGCCACAAGCACTCTGAATCAATAACATGAAGAAGAACCATCCTGAAACCCATGGAGAAGTGGCGGCAAAACCACCTGATAAAAACATTGCACACCAACCACATCCAAGTGCAGATCAGCTGGGTCCTCACTTGGGTCCGGATCAGCTGGTTCTCATACTCCACCTGCAAGCGGATGCCCCAGAGTTGAAGGCCCCAGCCTCATTCGCCACGATCACGGGGCGGAGCTATGGAACGGGGCGGCTTTGGAACGGAATGGATCATCGAAAAGGAGCGAGGGACTTCCACATCTGAACATACTATATTTGTGTATATACATAATATATATATATGTGCTCAACAACTGACATACAAACAACCAGAAAATCCAATTGACGAGCGGACTCATGATACGTTCAGCGACTATGCTGGAAAAGCTACAAGGCCAAAAAGAAAATATTCTTGCCCTGTTGCATGATACCCATGGGGTCAGCCATGGATCGCAAGTGTGCATGGGCGGTCTGAGTCTATAGCCAGCTACCTAAGAATTACCGTTTTATAATCACCTTCTATACAAAATAATTAAGACGATACCCGGGCATTGCAATGTTAAACAGGAAATTGCCAAGGGAATATCATTTAAGACCTTTTAAGCATTCCAATATCCAAGTTTCACGCTTTCAAGAGATGTGCCGCTATCATGTAAGGGATTCACTCTCCTTCTTCCCCACCCCCGGCGCCCCCCACTAACATGCTCTCTCTCCGAGAGGCAGTCGGCATGGCGAACGGTGAGCACTTCCTTGCAAATGTCGTGCATCTTCTTCTGCACCGTCGCGTAGTCCTTCCAGGCCTCCCGGGATCGGTCGAGCGACAAGAGCCGACTCGACCCAGATCGGATCCGTCGACCCGTGGGGTTCAAAGATCGGAGGGTTATATCAAAGCTTAATAAGACCGGGCTTGGGCATGTCAATCGGGCTGTGCACCTCCACGTTTTGGAGGTCAACCTCCAGCCCCTGTCGCCCGGACCCTGGTCGAACACGACGTGCCGCCCTTTCCGCCTGGTCGATGGTGAACTCGTTGGTGACCCGTTGCAGGGCCCCGCGGAGCTCTGAGATGTACACGTCTTCGTAAAGCTTCGTCATCTCCCTGACCCGGGTCACCCGGTGCCGATGAACAGTGCAACCGGTGTGGGGCAGTGCAACGGTCATGAAGGAATAGGCATCAGTTCGACTCGGTGGTTTTCAGAGTAGATGGCACAAACGAAACAAGATGTCTTTTAGATGGGCTGGGGGTCCATATAAACCACCTTTTGGATGGGGATTGTGCCATCTACTCTGATGGCCCTTGCTCGAACGTTGAGGGAAAGTTCAATCGAACCATATGGATCCCATCCTGTTGGCACCTGGCTCAAACCCTCGACATAGGAGCAGGAATGGCAACGTATGGCGAGGTGCCGCCCCCAGGACGTATAGCAACACTGAGAAAGTCAAGCACTGATAAGCACTGGGTACAGGTTTGCAAGGGAGGGGCTGAAGGGGAGCGCTCATGCATTAAAATTAACACACACAATATGTAACAACATTAAAGCACATATATATTAATAAGTATCGATGCTGAATGCACAATTGCGAAATGTTGGGGTGCCGTGGCGTCTTCACAGTTCATTCTGGAAATCTGATGTTCCTTCCACCGCTCAGTTTTCACCCCACGTACCAAAGAAAGCACCATTCTCGGAAGGAAACGCCACAGGTGGGTACCTGTAAATCTGAGGCAGCTCCTGCGGGTAGATGCGGTACCTGCAGTCTCGGCCCGGACGAGGTCGAGAATCGGGCCCGTTTCTTTAACGTGTGTTTTATGGATACCAAAAACAAACGGTAGAAAAGACATCGTGGCAGTACAAAATGGAGATATGATATACATACCCCAAGGTGGGCTTGAACACCACCTGGTTGCGCTGGTTGTTTCTATTGGAAGATCCAAAAGTTCTCATTCCGCAACTCGACATGTCTTAGAATCTGGCTGAATCTTGTTTTGAGGTCCTGTGCGTCCTGTGTCTCTCTTGTGCTACCCTTATGGGACATGGTTGTCTCTCTTGGAGTGATCACACCAAGCCGCTGCACGGAGACATCCAGCCAAATCTGTTTGCCATCCTTATCTCGGGACCTGAGCGGATGCGATGAAGCGATGCGATGAAACAAAGCTCAAGCTCATCTGATCCCACCAGATCCCACCTGATCCCAAGAAGAGTTGCATGTCCGGGTGATTTCAAGATGTCCAACATCTATTAGCAGATCTAGCAGCCATCTAGGCTTCCAAAGGTTTGTACATCAATTTGCGCCTTGGCTGACCCGTCGCCCGTTCAAGAATGGCCTGCAAGGGTCAATGGTGAAAAACCCTCCCCAACGGGCAGAACTGCTGGCATCCCTTCTGTCAACCAACCGTAACAAGGCTCGCTGCTCACAGATGTCGCAATCCCCAAATCGCCAGTGCAAGTCATTTTCCGGCGTCTGCCAAGCGGAACAAACATGGAACAAAAACAACTTCTTGTTCCTAGTAGTAAGGCCAGGAACTACGTTCGTAGCGTCCTTGCTCCTAGTATCCTAGTAGCGATGGCCTCCAACTTACTTGCGATGGCCTACACCTAACCGCGTCGGGTCCTCTGCTCCGTCAGACGATTCAATGACAGGCCTCCAACGAACGGCACGGTGGGTGTGGTGGCTCCGTCGCCAAGGGGCCTGAGCTTCCCAAGCATCTGCACGCCATCCTCTACCGCCTCATCGGCAAACTCCTCGGACGAACGCAAACGGAGGCGCGTGGGCACTGCAAGGAGCCACCGCGGGAACGATAAATGCGACAAATGGATACAAAAGAGCGCTGCAGTGGCTGAGTGGCCACCGAACCTATATATATTCTTATAGGCAAAAGAGCGCTGTAGTGGATCGCTCCGCTGTGGTCCGAACATATGGAACGAAGGGTTACGTAAAAGCTCTGGTTTTCCGTACCTCCGCAGGAGCCACTACAAATCACCACCTGTTGTACATGTCCTATGACAAACACACTGCCAGCGTCATCTTTTGAGGAGTCGGAGCTGTTACTAGCAAAGCCAGAAGCTTCAGGGTCCTTGAACTGCTGCCTACGAATACAGTGTAGTAGTTCACGTGGGGACTGGTTGGGCTGTGGCCATGTCAGGTATGGATCGTGGTCGGAACGGTATGGAACTAGCATTGGAACAAAAACTGCCTGCAGTTTCTGGGTACAGTGGAACATCCTAGACTATAGCATGCGTCAGTATCCATAAAGAAGCACTGTAGGCGACAGTCCTCCGAACACGCCAAGCGTAATTAGGCGGCAAACATTAGCAGACCATCGGCGTCGCTACCAGAGCTGCGGCTACCATCAGCTTGGAAAGGAAAGAGAAAGGGAAAGGGATTGGGAAAGAGACAGAGATAGCCAAAACGAAAGAGAGCGAGAGAAAAAGAGAGAGAGAGAGAGCGAAAGCAAAAGCGAGACCATGAAAGCCAAAAACAACGGGCTGGCGCACCGTTCTGCCTTCGTCCGATCCATCCTGCTCCTTCCTCTTCTTCTTCCCCCTCCCCTCCCCTCCCCTCGTGTCGGCCGGTGCCCGGCTGTCAGGCGTAAGAAGCTTTTAATCCACTATGACACTAAAAGTCACTAAACCATTTCACAAGTGTAGATCAAGGGTATGGATCAGTGGATGGAACAGCTGTGGGCCCATGATTCAAATCATCTAATTTTGACTCGCTCCCATATTAATATTCATAAATCTTCTATCATTCAACTTCAGGGCATAGTATGCATGCAATTTGATTCCATCATGTAACAGCAAAACCCTCTCTTTCTGCCCGGCTAAGGCGCAGCAGCTCACAGCTCGCTTGGACCATGCATTTTGAGGGGCCAAGACTCGATCGTGTTCAGGGTCGTGGGGAAGTGCAAAAACTCGTGCCAGAAGCCCACAAAATATCCTCAGCCCATCGACTCGTCCTCTCGTTGAAGACACAAGTCATCCGGTTGCTGGACCGGATGACTTCGACATCCGATGCCCTTCGTGTCAAGTCGTGTCAAGAAAACACCGACTTGTAGCCCTTTCGAAGCGCCTACGGAACATAGGCGAGGCCCTTGGCCAGCCCACACAACACGAGCTGCATGCAGCAACCGCATCCCAAATCATCGGGAGCTGTTGGGAGAGTACTAAAATAGGACCTTTTCAGCATAGCTCGCATACTTCTCAGAACATCTTTCTCCAAGGTAACTTGGGAATCTTGGGACGCAGGGCCTCCGCTTCAGAGGGACAACGCCTGCATCGATATCGGTGCACCGCACCCGAGTTCGGAAGTGAGAAAATCAGCCAAGCCACGCCCAGGCAAGTAGGAGCCTAGGAGGAAACTGCAACAAACACAGGGGTAGGCAGCGGCCTGAGGCCTGCAGGAGTGGCCCCATCTGACAGACTCACCCACTCTTATACCATGAAAGTTCGAGTGATTCAGCCCGCCACAGACCGCCACAGCCCCTCCGGATTCCAAATGAAGAAAAGTGTCGGTGAAAAACACGCTGTGACATGTCAAAATCAAGCACTCCTAATTGCTTTAAGCCTAAATAGCGCCTAGAGATGAATTTCGATGAGCGGCTTCAAGCAATTGGTAAAAAGGGTGGAATTGAACATAGACCTCTAATAGGGCCTTAGAGAAGGGGACCCCAGGTCATACAGGTCCCCAGGATCACATGTGCGCATGGGGACCTGTATTCTGGGGGGGTGAAGGGTGGCAAATGACCAATTGAAAAGTGTTGCCAAAATCAACTGTCAAATTATCCAGTGTTGCTTGGAATGCAAGAAATCATAGAAAGAAGGACACATGCATGAGTTGTGTTTTTGTGTGCTGGTTTGTAGTGCTGACTGAGACTGGTGCTCCCAACAGCTTTGTTCAAAATCGGACAATTTTGACCAGGGCAGGCTAAGCATGGGTTCTTATCCTGCTTCCTTATTAGAGCCTTAATAGGGCTAAATCTGCTTTGCCTTCCAAAGGAAATGTTTTGGTCAAAATTATGCAAAATCCACCAGCATGGTACTCATGATCCAAAAACTCTTAGTACCCTAAATGGGCCCGGATGTTGTGGACACCTTCCAATGTAGATATAGGCCACTCAGGGGCCTATTTCTAGCCTATCTGGTGTAAATCAAGGTTTTCACTAATTTGGCACTAGTTTGGCTTGGGGGGGCTGAGGGGGGGTACACTCGAACTTTCATGATCAGTGAGTGGTCCCCAAATAGATCGTGGCACCGTTTCCAATACATTGTTAGTGGGGATTCGGGATCTTCTTTCCTATCTCTTAGGTGGAATTTGCCTAATTTCAACCAAACAATGGCCTTTGGAAGCCAAAATAGATTTATATAGCCCTATTACTGTAAGGCTCTAGTAAGGAAACAGGGTCTATCTGATCAAATCTGCATTCGTATACCATTTCCTATCCCTCCTCCTCCCGCTTCAGAGCGGTTCTTAGAGGCTTGGCTCCCCGGCGTTCCAAGTTCACCTCTCCGGTGAAGCCATTCCGCAGCAAGCCCGCATTCAGCCGATTCACCTGCCGAACGTGGAACGTGGTTTGCCCTGGTTTTGGTTGTACTTCTTTTAGTTTTTCGCACCGTACCGTGGTTCGAGCCAGGAACATCTTGGGAGAGTGCTCCACCACTGGGTGACTGATGATTGGCTGGCCCCACGAGTAGGACTCGAGTTCCATCGCACCCCCCATGAGCCAGAGTGGTGGATGATGTATTTTTGTGACGTGCATGTGTTGAACATGTCGTCCAAACTCGAAAACTGCGGTTCTGGCAGTCATCTGGAGACCAAAAAGGCTTTTTTTTGAGGGAACCGGTCAATGCTGAATACTACAACCCAACTAAATCCTCATCTGCAGCCCTGTGGCCAGGGCCGAGGGAGCACCCCGCATGATCCTTTAAATCGTCCTTGCCGTTAGCAAGCGCTGATCTACACAATGCACAGAATGGACTTGGATGAACAGTTCACTTCGCATTCATTCTTAAGATTGCTAGCTAACGTATGCATGTATGCTACTGAGCACATTTGAACACCACATGAAGCGCCAGGCCGTCACAAAACGCAGTCCGTCGCGAAAACGCCTGCTGGAAGGACGTGAGAAGGAGAATGAACACCACGAAGAACGTACAGGAGCAGCAGCAACAGCAGCATTTTTTCTGGCGGAACGTCAGATTCCATCCCACGACGGAATCCGTGGATGGAGGAAACAACACACAGCCACATGGTATTCTGGCAGCAGGTTGTGGCCCGAAACGGCAGTGATGGCTGCATAGAAAGCAGTGTGCTTACATGTTGAAACCTAATCAACTTAACTTAACTATCTTTGGGGGGCTTTGAGCCTGAACAACACATTTCACAGAATCCTCGAAAACAATCTCATCTAAACCCTCCAAAATGGGAGGCTCAAGAATGTTCGGCCCCGCGCTGGTTACCAAACATTGCCACAAGGGGCTCCTGGTGACAGTCTATGTTGACCCTCCGGTCACTTGCGAAGGTTCAAAGGGTCACCTATTTTTCCAACCCCCCGACCCTATTTTTCCAA